CCTGGCGGAGCAAACAACTGTGCATATCTCTCTACCAGTGTTATAGAGGGCGAACAATTTATGAGTTTGCCCTGCATAAGCTTTATGCAGGGTAAAACGGATTTATCTGGGTTTAGACCCCATTGGGAGTTGGGCATCTGAGTGCTAAAGACAAGCACGCTACTGCGAGCTGTTTTCAGGTAAACTTGCAGCTTTGGGACAAGTGATTCAGACCCTGGGTCTGTGTCTGGGGCCAGACAGGAGTGTCTTGCTCAGCAAGACGGTGCTGGAGTCCTGAGCTGGCAGGGAAAACAGAAGCAGGGGTAGTCTTTGCACATCTGGTGGCAGCTCCCAAGGGGGTTTCTGTGATTCAACCCGTCACAACTGCTTCCTAGCCATTCGGTCCTTAGTCTGTAACAGTGAATGGGATTCTTCCGTCCTAAGTGCAGGGCTCTGCACTTGTCCTTGTTGAACCTCATCAGGTTTCTTTTGGCCCAATCCTCTAATTTGTCTAGGTCCCTCTGTATCCGATCCCTACCCTCTAGCGTATCTATCACGCCTCCCAGTTTAGTGTCATCTGCAAACTTGCTGTGAGTGCAGTCCACACCATCCTCCAGATCATTAATAAAGATATTAAACAAAACCGGCCCCAGGACCGACCCTTGGGGCACTCCGCTTGAAACCGGCTGCCAACTAGACATGGAGCCATTGATCACTACCCGTTGAGCCCGACGATCTAGCCAGCTTTCTATCCACCTTACAGTCCATTCATCCAGCCCACACTTCTTTAATTCGGCGGCAAGAATGCGAGACCGTATCAAAAGCTTTGCTAAAGTCAATGAATAACACATCCACTGTTTTCCCCTCATCCACAGAGCAAGGTATTTCCTCATAGAAGGCAATTAGGTTAGTCAGGCATGACTTGCCCTTCGTGAATCCATGCTGACTGTTCCTGATCACTTTCCTCTCCTGTAAGTGCTTCAAAATTGATTCCTTGAGGACCTGCTCCATGATTTTTCCAGGGACTGAGGTGAGGCTGACTGGCCTGTAGTTCCCCGGATCCTCCTTCTTCCCTTTTTTAAAGATGGGCACTACATTAGCCTTTTTCCAGTCATCCAGGACCTCCCCCGATCGCCATGAGTTTTCAAGGTTTATTGAAGGCTTATTGGCCTTCAACTACCGGGATCACCTCTGGAGCTTTCCCCCAGCCCCCACCCAGTTACCTCATCAAAGCAGGAAACCAAGCTGGTTTGGCAGGATTTGTTCTTGGTAAATCCATGCTCGTGATCACCCTTTGGTCCTCACAAATTGAAGGTTTTATACATTGCTCTAGTAGCTTTCCATTTTTCGAGGCAAGACTTACTGGTCTATAGTTCCCCGGCTCCTCCTTTTCCCCCTTTTAAAGATGGCCACTCTGTTAACCCTTCTCCTGTCTTCTGAGACCTCTCCTGGCATCCATGAGTTTGCAAATATTATTGCCAGTGGCTCCAAGATTTCTTCCACTAATTCCTTCAGCACCCTGGGTTGAACGGCGTCCCGCCCCACTGATCTGAGTTCATTCAATTTGGCCGGAACATCCCTGATGTGTTCTTTACTTATCCCGATCTGCAGCCTTTCCCCTTTGTTGTCTGTGATAACATCGCTAGTCGTTCACTCACATATTGTTTTTTTGTGCGAAGACTGAAGCAAAGCAGGCACTGAGCAGCACTGCCTTCCGACCATCTTCCATCACCAGCTCGGGATATTCTGGCCGCTTTTGTGATTATTAGAGAAAATCTCAGGTTTTTTTGCCAATTTAAGGATTTTTTTAGCCCACGATCTCTCAGGACGGTTTGGTGATTTGTGGTTTTCTGTGAGGAGGGAGGTCACTGCATTGCCAGCAGCCCTAGATCAGGCCCCTGCAGAGCCCAGCAGTACTGATGGTCCCCCAGGCTGATATGTGTCCCCAAACAGCATCTACTCTCATACGTCTCACCCCCCCATCTGTCTCTAGGACTGTCCCAGCCAGACGCCCCAGCCATGGGCAGAGCCCTGCTGCCACAGCATGACACCTGGGAAAGGGAGCTCCCGCCTCAGCGCCCCCTCTGGAGAGCAGGGGGTCCTGCCATGCTGAGGGTCCTGCTCCTCGCCCTGCTCTGGAGGGGTAAGTAAGAAGCACTTGCAGCCGCAGTGCAGGGGGAAGGGCAGAACCTGTGCTAAGCGGGGCCAGGTCTGTCCCAAAACTTGGAAGGGAGACTGGCCAGAGGGGGAGGGGAGCCCAGTGCCCCAGTGTGGTGCTAGGGGGCGCTGAGTGACAGGGAGCGGGCAGGGGGCTTGATGGAGGGAGGAATGGAAACTAAATGGAATGAGAATTGGTCAAGGACCCAGGGCTGGGCTCTCATGGAGCTGTTAGTTGGGAGTGCGGGGCACTGATAGACCTCGATGGGGGGTTGAGCTCAGGGCTGGGCTCGGGAGTGAGGGGAACTGGCAGGGCTGGGTGGTGCAGCTCAGGGTTGGTCTCTGCTCTCTATGGGTCCCACTTCGATCCCTTCCCGTCCCCTGCAGGGTCCCTGTCCCAGCCACCTGGATTTATCCTGGCGGTGCCGCAGTCAGTGTCCGTGCAGGAAGGTCTCTGCGTTCTCGTCCCCTGCAACTTCACATACCCAGCCTCGTATGACACCGACAATCCCTCGACCCAGGAATACGGACACTGGTTCAAGGAGCCTGCTACTGTGGGCCAGGATCATTCTGTGGCCAGCAGTGTCCCCAGCTCTTGGGGGTCACAGGAGACCCAGGGCCGGTTCTGGCTGACGGGGGATCCAGCGCACAGCGATTGCTCCCTGCAAATCAGTGATGCCCGACGGACGGATGCAGGGAAATATTACCTTTACGTCGAGAAAGGCATGTTTGAACACACTTACTGCTCCAATTCTGATGGCACTGGCCCTGCGCTCATCATCTCCGTGCTAGGTAAGAGCAAGCACAGTCACCGCTTTTGAGGGTTCCCCCCCACTCTGAACTCTGGGGTACAAATGTGGGGACCCGCATGAAAGACCCCTTAAGCTTATATTCTACCAGCTTAGGTTAAAAACTTCCCCAAGGCACAAATTCCTTCCCCTGTCCTTGGACGGTATTGCTGCCACCACCAAGTGATTTATAGAAAAATTCAGGGAAGGGTCACTTGGAAACCTTATCCTCCCAAAATATCCCCCAAGTCCCTTCCACCCCCTTTCCTGCGGAGGCTTGAGAATAATATACCAACCAATTGGTTAACAATGTGAGCACAGACCAGACTCTTTGTCTTCAGGACACTGAAAATCAATCAGGTTCTGAAAAGAAGAACTTTATTTATATATATAAAAAGAATCACAGCTGCAAAATCAGTTTGGAAGGTAACTTCACAGGGTAAATAAAAGATGTAAAATACAGAGGATTCCCCTCTGGCTCAGCTTCCCAGTTACGAAAATAGGAATAAAACTATATATGTAGCATAGGAAAATTGACAAGCTAAAACAAAAGATAACCTAATGCCTTTCCTTGCCTACTTACAATTTCTGTGGTTTAGATCTATTATTCCAGGTATATTTTCAGGAGATGTTGTACCTGCTTGGTCTCTCTCTCCATCCAGAGAGGGAACAACAAAGAGAGAGCAACAAACAAATCCTCCTCCCACCCCCACAGATTTGCAAGTATCTTCTTTCCTCATTGATCCTTCTGGTCAGGTGCCAACTAGGTTATTTGAGCTACTTAACCCCTTACAGGTAAGGCGATTTAGTACAGCTACCAAAGAAAGATTTTATGCTACTGCATACGTAAAGTTGTTACTCTTCCCTCTATATTTATGACACCGCTCATCAACCCCCCTGAGCCAGCCATTCCCCGTCCTGGGGCCGGATCGCAGCCAGCGCCCCTAAAGGGCAAATGCCCCATGTCCCCGAGTGATTCTCTCCCCTCTCCCCTGTCTCAGAGCTGACGAAGGAGCCAGAGATCCAGATCTCGCCGGCGCAGGGGAGGCCAGGGATGCTGGTGGCCGGGGAGCCGGTGACTATGAACTGCACGGCCCCTGGGCGCTGCTCCGGGCCCCCTCCCCAAGTCACCTGGATGGGGCCATTCAGCGACACAGCCCGGAACATCTCAGCCCAGCTGGCGAACAGCACCTGGGCCCACAGCTCCGCGCTCAGCTTCACGCCTGCCCCATGGCAGGATGATGGCAAAGAGCTCGTCTGCAGCGTCACCTACAGCTCAGCACAGGGACCTTCAACAAACAGAACCATCCGGCTCCACATCGGCTGTGAGTGACCCACCCAGTCCCTCCATGCCAGCCCCCAGCTCCCTCTGCTGGGATCCCACCCCTGGGCTCTCCAGCCCTGCCCTCCAGCCCCTCCCCCCAATTCTGCCCTGTGCTGGGATCCCCACGGCCCACCATGCACCCTCAGCCAATTCTACTCCAGGCCCCTTCCCTCCACACCTTGCAGCCCCTTCTCCATTGGGATCTTCACCCCTTCCTGCCCCCCTTGCTTATGGCTCCCCTCTCTACCCCCAACCTGCCCTGCCCCCAGAATCCTCCTGTGCTGCTATCCACAGCCCTCATTCCAATCCCCCCTT